TAGACAAAGGGTTTGTTGGCCATGGAAGTCGTTCATTCGATAGAAGGGACAGGTTCCATGACGAACAATAATAATTCAGTGATTAGTTATGTGGTGCGATAGACATTGCATGATCAAAACTCAATGCTTAGGAAGTATAGCGTTCTCAGTGCAATAATTTTTAGTTGGAGAATTCTTTTTTTGATCCCGAACATGTAATGCCTATTAACAATATCCATTAAAGTTTCAGACCAAATAATATGACTTTTTGTCATATTTCCTTAGAAATTTGTCTATATATCTAAATTTCACTTCTGAATAGATCTTATATTAGAAGCTAAACTCACTGCATGACAGGCGTCAATGCGTATGTTTTAATTATAAATTTGTCAATGACGATAAACAAATAAGCATATAGTTTTTTAATTTGAGGACTTGCTCGATTTTCTTATGCATTTTAATTTTGTTAAAAGGGGCGTGCGTGTTCTTAAAGACGTTTTGAGGCGTTGTGCATGAATTTTTGGCGTTATATATTGTTGATATTTGTATTTATGTGACGCAAAATCAATTTTAGACTTTCATTGTTGTTACGTATCTGTTACATTTGCTTAATGAAACAACCGATTAAAGAAGGTTGTACTCAGTGTTTAAATATTCTGTAGTGAAACTTGATTGAAATAATAGATAAATTATCTAGATTATAAGCGATACAACTTGTAATTATATAGTTTTTGCATCAATCATCTATATCATAGCAGTCCTTGAATGTTTCCTGAGCTAGAATCAAATTCCAAAGTGTACCGTAATACGATCAGGAAAATTCAACACCTCTGTTTTGTTTGTCAACAATTACCTACTGTATTTCTCGAAAATCCGCATAAAAAAGCATCCTTAGTGCTCTAACAAAATGTTTCTTAAGCGACTTCCACATTCAATAATTGCAATTGACAATTGGAATTAAGGATTTAGGGTTAAAGGTATAGGTTTATATAAAATAAATTCTACCCCAAAATTACAATTTTAAGAAATTTCCCGTTCTCACAACATATATAACAGATAAGCAACGCAATCAAATCACTTTAACGTAGAGCACATCATTAAGTTTCAACAATATAGATTAATAATAAGTGTGAAATTACGTACTACGTATATAAGTGAGCTTTGCTTCAATTATTTTTTGCATCACAAAAATGATTCCGTATCACTTCACCGACAATATGATTTACTTACAAGTTTATTTTGCAGACAACAAACTCAGCCAATCTTATTTCGTTAGACAGTTTACTTCATAGACAGCTCATTTTGTAAACTATATATGTTACCTAACCTTAACCTTAAAGTCTAACTTTAATCCTAGTGTCTGCGAAATTTTTGTGAGATAAGCTATTTACGAAATAATCTTGTCTGCAAATCGAATTCCTGTAAAATAAACTTGTAGATAAATTGATTGTCTATAAATAAGTTGCCTGTAAAATAATTGTCTGTGAAGTGAGCTGTACTGTCAAAAATCCATCCTCTTTGTGTTATGCTGCACTTAAAGCTCAATTTTCCTGATATATTCTTCGTGTTATGCTATGTTTAACGTTCCGTTCCTGATATATTCTTCGTGTTATGCTGATCCCTGACAGAGTCGCTGTTTTAGGTCATATGGCGCAGATGGTCATGATGCAGTATGTAATAAATTTTATGAATCATAACAGGTTATAACGGACCATAGGCCAAGATGGTCTTTGTATTCTTATGTAATTTTTTAAAATTTTAATTTCTTTTATATATCTGTACAGACTTTTGCAAATTGGATAACAGAAAATGATACCAACAAATATTCTTGGAGGTGATGGAGAACATGATGTATTAATTGAAGTTGGTCAAGCACCAAATAAACAAGTTTTCAATGCCAATTCTGCTATCCTAACTTCTCGAAGTCCTTATTTACGTGATGAATTATCTAAGATCGATTATGATGAAAATAATGTTAAAATAATTAGATTAGATATTCCAATTAGTGTTTTCGAAATTATTGTAATGTATGTAAAAACAATTTAATAATTCTGGCTAATGATTGGATTTATATCTAGAAGTATTATTAATAATCTAAAATTTATAGGTACATTTATGATGACACTATTTTAATGGACAAAATTGACGTTCCTACATTTCCTATTCTACTTATTATTGCCAATAAGTTTGGTATTAGCAATTTAGTCGAAATGATTCAGTTACACTTAATTAGTGAAAAAAATTCTCTAATTCTTCCGAATTTTATTCAAATTTATAAAACAAGTTTTGAATGTGATGACCTTAAAATTTTACAACAATTTTGTAATAATGTTATTGCTAACAGTCCTAATATTTTATTCAACTCTGAAGAATTTGTAACTATTCCAGAAAATGCCTTGATCTCTCTTTTAAAACTTGATTATCTCCAAATGGAAGAAGGAGAAATTTGGGATAAAGTCATTAAATGGGGGATAGCTCATAATCCTAACTTGACTTCTAATGTTGAACAATGGTCTGAGGATGACTTTTTAAGCTTAAAAAATACTCTCCAAAACTGTTTACCTCATATCCGGTATTTTCACATTTCTGGAAAAGATATTTTGAAGAAGGTTAAGCCATATAAGAAAATCCTTGAGCATTCTTTGTGGGAGGATATTGATGCAAGACATTATAATCCAGATGAGCCCATTAATTCACTTGTTTTGCCCCCAAGAAAACACACAAAAAGTTATTCTTCCACAAATGATATGTTGTCACATAATGATGAAATATCAAAAAATATCGTAATTGATACGCCGCATCTGGAATATTCTGTAGATATCATGCAGCAACCAGAAAGTCGTATAGACATTGTGCAACAGCTAGAAAATCCTGTAGATACTATACAGCAATCGGAGAATCACGTTAATAATATGCAACAACTGGAGAACCCTGTGGATAATATGCAGCAACCAGAGAATCCCGTTGATAATATGCAGCAACCAGAGAATCCCATTGATAATATGCAGCAACCTGAGAATCCTGTTGAAAATATGCAGCAACCAGAGAATCCCGTTGATAATATGCAGCAACCAGAGAATCTCGTTGATAATATGCAGCAGCCAGAAAATGTTGTTGATCATATACAGCAACCAGAAAATTTCATAGATATTATACAGCAACCAGAAAATCCCATAGACACTGTACACCGACAAGAAAATTGGCACAAAAAAAGAAAGAAAACCAGAAAAAGCTAACAAAACAGAAACAAAGAAAATTATAAAAAATGA